GTGGCCATATTTTTTCCCCTATCAAGAGTCCTGGAAGGAGACAGACTCCCTTATAATCTACATTGGTTAGAAGATCTACTTGGCTCTCTCCTATTCACTGCTGTGATAATATTCTTACAGCTTTAACTACTATCCATATGCTGAAAACTCTCCATCCTTTTCCCCTACACAACTAAATCCACCATGACCCAAGTACAAATCATGAGCTTCCCACAAATAAAGTGTTTCTCCACTAAGATTCTTAACTTGGCCAATGGTATCGTTATACATTCACCTGCTTGAACATCTGACATCAGAATAATAAGACATCAGAATCATCTCCAAGTTTTCTTTCATCTTTAATTGACATCAATCCATGAATCAGTGCCCCACAATACACCTATGAGATGTCTTTTGAATTATTGCTTTCTTTAGAATGACTTCCATCCCTGCTGTGGATCAGGTTTTTATCTCTTTTTAACTTCAAGTTTCCATGCTCAGTGACACCCTGATGAATTCCATGTTCCTCAGTGGTGCCTCATACTGATAATTTCTGCTTTCAGTTGTCAAACTTTCCATCATCAACCCTAAAGGAAATGATTCAAGTGACTGTTTATCAATTCTCTCCAAGATGGTATCTAGATATGATCATTCTAGATGAATAGAAGAAAAATTAATTCATTACATGTAATGGATGCTTTAAGGCATCCATCAAGAAAGGTTGTTGGATGAAGTTTAATTTCTTGGCATCAAATGTAAGAATTTCACCATGCTTCTCCAGTGTTTTCACATATGTATTTCCTAAAAATAAAATATATGACATCTAAACTTCTGTTAATATTGTTCCTTGAAGGAACAATTACTTTTCACTCCTCTGGATCTACAATAGATATGCCATCCACTATGTGGAGAACTATCATTATTCATACCCCTATATAAAATCTGTATACATGAATATTACACACACTTACACTATACAAATACCTTTACAAGAGCTTTTTAAAAGTTTCTACATCATGTGTGTTTTTTTAGAATTGCCCATCTCTGCCACTAGATTATGAAGTTAACAAGAGGAAGGATTCATCTTTGTATAGCTAGAGTCCAACAGAAGATTTGCAAGCCATATGATGAAAGAAGGCAGGCAGATAATATAAGTGAATGACACTGTATAGTGGAAAACCTAAGGAAGTAGTGGAGATAGTGGTAGAGTTTACTTGTAATATTGTAAAGGGGCAGCCCTACTCAACTTTAGCAGATTTCTGCCCCCTCTGTAGAAAAGGAGTTTGCTCAATTTTCTGATTTTCCAAGAAAAACAAGAAATCAAGATTAATTCATAAAATCTCCCGATTGTTAAACATTTGCAAGCAAAGAACTCAGGTTGTAAGGCTAGGCCATCTGTTGGAGAATGGCTATAATGTAATTCTCCTATGTAGTAAATATACGAATATATTGTGGTTTCCAATGACCTACTTTAGTACAGGGCTAAAGAAGAGGCTACAGATAAGCATAATTGGGTAGTACATATTATACTAACTTTCTCAAAACTGTCTTTGCATAATTGATCTTTTTGTAGGAACTCAATGATGTCAGACTTTCTGAACATGGTCTCAAGCAATAGCGGCCTATATTTCGGATTAAAGGAAAGATCCATATGTTTTGGCAATCAAACTTAGATAACAAAGTTAATGATTTATTTAAAATGGATAATGTACAGTGTCATCACACAGAAACCACCATGTATAAATGTTAGATGTTTTACTTATTTTTATTTGACTGCAGAGCTCTACTTCTCTTTTTTTTCCATTTATTATAATTAACACTGACCTTTAATCGCAGTAGTAACAACCACTCTGACCAAAGTTAAATATATGAAAACATTATCTCTCTATTGAGATATTAGTACACAATACTTAATGTGTTTGTAACATCCTGCAAAATTATATTCTTCTTATTAGGAAAGCAAATCATATAAACATTATGACATCTCTTACCTCAAAATCAATATCTGCACAACAGCTGCACACAACACATGGACCAATGATTTTTAGCACATCATCTCTTTTCTCATTTTGAATTGTAAACTTTGGCAGACATGGGTGCCAGTTCTGAGTAACATAACCTACTGGTACACCAGGAGGGGCTTGGATTTCTATCTATAAAGGCAAAAGAATATATGTAAATGTAATAATCATTGTGATATCTAGGTTCAATAAAAAGTTCAATGAAAGGGTGAAAATCCTTGCTGAACTACTTTACAAACTGGCCTGGTAATTGCTCACAGACCTCCTGAAGGCAGCAGGGGAAACAACAGCTGGAACATCTTAGCGGTCTCTCCAGAGTTATGACTTCTTTACCCAAGTTATCAAGAATCCTCAATGTAAATGGTCTAGATGGTCCACAGCAATTTCGGGTACAGCAATCAGTATCTTCCACTGCACAGTAAACCCTTTGTCCAAGGCTGTTCTTAATTTCGTATTTGTTATTAGTTTCAAAACCTATTAAGACTAAAAATATAAAAGAGAAAATCATAATCACCTTTATGTTAAAAACATTGAATCTACCCTAAGATATAATATCTAGATATACCAGTTTTAGATGACACTTCAAGAAAATGTGTTTAGAGATGATCCAAGCAAAGAAAAAAGGCAAAGGAAAAGGACGAGGAGAGGCTGTTAATGTATGGAGAAATAAAGAGGGCTTACATGAGACAGGGAAAAGAAGACAAGTCCTACCTTCCTACTTTCAAAAACTCCTGTCAAAAGGGAGACATTGCTGCTGGACACATTGGCGCTAGTTATGTGGACAAAATGTCCACTTACCCAGTATAGTTTTCATGTATTATTGAGGGAACTATATGATGATTGCTGTTTATTCTCTATGAAATATATTAAATCAAGTGGTTTGAGATTTTGTTTCATAAGCCATAGCTATGTTTTAATTTTTGCACCATGTTTGAAGGAAGGCAATGAGAAAGCTTACTCTCAATGCACAAACATAAAAAGGGAGTGAATGAAAAGGGAAGGTGAATGTCGCATTGGATCCAGGGCACCCTTGTTTAGTTTAGCAGTAGTTTTTCAGAAGTAGTAGATGGGTATTAGAGGGGGAAGGTGCTTGACAACCAGGGCTTCACCTCATAGAATAACCAGGCTCCGGGCAGCCTAAGTGAACTGTGCCCCTTAGATGGGCTAATCTTTTCATGGAGGGAACAGAGGGATGAGAAGTGCTGACACCCATGTGAAGTCTCCCCATATGGAGCCACACGTTGGAAACCTCTCCCTATTTAGAGCCACAAAGGAGAAATGAATGGTCCCACTTGTCCATAGCCCTCAGTAACTTGGGTCATAGATGTCAGAAGCCTGACCAAGTAATAAATGATTAAAAGAAACATATGGAGGCGAAATCACTCTAAAATGTATGCGTGGAAGAAATTTTAGTCAGATAGAGATATTCTTCACAAGACTATCACCATGAGCTCCCTTAAGGTCTTTGGTGGGATTTAGAAGGCCCTGGACTCTGTATTTATAAGAAGTGTTTGGTGAGAAAAAAAATAAACTGATTTTGAGAGAATATATATTATCTAACTAGTTGTTTCATTCTGAGAAACTTGATCTCAAAAATCTCCAGTTTGTTTATTTATAAACCAACATGGGTTTACATAATCCTTACATTTCCTTCTAGTTACTTAAAAATGAAAGCGCACAAGACTTCTGTTTACATCTTTATTGTCTATTGTGTTTTGAATTGAGGGAAAATATAAATGCGTGTTATATGCTCAGATGCTAAAAAGCTGAATACTCTTCATCTTCTTTATATTACTTGTAATATGAGAAAATAATATAGACTTTCAGTTTGGGAGAAAAAGAAAGCAAGAAAATTA